AAAGTATTTTTGACCAACGGGTGGCAGATCATTAGCACCTGGGTATAAGGTATAGAAAAGTCGTGATGGTCCAAACATATTTAAATTATTAAAAGTTATATTATATTTAAAACATTTATTAATTATATAAATTTAACAAAACCTACTGTCAGGTTACTAAACAAATAATATAATTTACAACGGGTCCGTAAAAAATTACAATTTTTAAATAACAACGAATTTTAAAACAATATTTTAAGAATTATTAATCATAAATACAATTTAAATATTGTTCAAGATGAATGTCCCATACGACTATCATTATAATGTTTTATTTTATTAATTATTTTAATAGTTTTTAAAAAATAAATTAAATCGGTTAAAATATTAATAAAGTATTTTTGACCAACGGGTGGCAGATCATTAGCACCTGGGTATAAGGTATAGAAAAGTCGTGATGGTCCAAACATATTTAAATTATTAAAAGTTATATTATATTTAAAACATTTATTAATTATACCAAATGCATAAACATTTAAAACATTATACATAAATACTGGTATAATCAAATTAATTTGAGAAATACATATTAAGTTTTACTAGCTAATATTAAATATTTAAAATGTATAATTTGACTGCTTTTATATTAAATGTTTTTAAGCATTGCCTAATGATTACCTTGAATACTTATGATTATTTACACAAAATCAAAATTGTATTAAGATAAGTGAGCTAGGTAAAGCACATAACAAGTGCATATCCCTTGTACAGTAATATCCCTTTTATTATAATAAATATATAATTATTAAATTATTAAATATTCATAGCCATAAATAAATGTATAATTTGATAAGTTATGTATGTAGTAAAATATAAAATTTATTATAAATAAATTAAGACGTTGGTTAACTATTTATTGAACTAGATAAAACAAGTAAGAGGTGCTTATCCCGAGTAAATTATATCACTTTTGTTACAATAAACATATAATAATAAAACTATTAAACATAAACTGTCATAAATAAATGTTTATTATTATTTATTATGTATTAAGATTATATAAAAATTACTCTAGTTCACAAATAATCCGCTTATTTAATACTATTATTAAATTTCATAGGCGTTTATCTTAGCCATGTCAAATAATAAATCTGAGAAATACAATAACAAACAAGCATAATTTTACAATGGTTATATTAATTATTTGAGATTTGTGGGTTAAGCATAATGAACCCAGTGTCCAGGGTACATATAATTATAAAATAAAACTACCATATCCTAAATAAATTATTAAAAACAATTATTTTAACAAAAATATTTACCTTGCTAAAAAAAGCACAAATCGAATAACCACTTATAGGGAATGTTAGTTATTTGCATAGTTTTTGAAAATAAAATAAATAATATTACAGTTTAAGTTCATAATTTTTGAATCTATTTATTTAAACCTAATTTGCCATATTATAAATAGCGAGATAAAGAATAATATTTATATTAATATATTACAATAATAAATATGAGTAAACATACTTGCTTCTTATTTTATTTAATCGGTTCGGGTAAATAATTATTTTTAAAATATTATCTAACAATAATGACATTTTTATTATTAATTTAAGTTAGTGAATTGTATGATAAAATAATTTATTTGTCAATTTAATACATTAATTAATAAAAATTTTTAATAACATTATTTAAACAAATCAATTATTTGAGATAGGTGGGTTAAGCTTAATGAACCCGGTGTCCAGGGTGCAGGTGGACGGGCACTTGGTTCCGGTTATATGCCCATAGATGTAGTCTATGGTGAAAGATGCCGACCCTTTACCACCGGAGCACCCGTACTGGTCATCAGCCACATAGGCATTGGATGAGAAAAACACGTCCCCTTTGCACCGGCCATCGGTCACTGTACCCGTATTGACCTCGTACATATTACCTTGATAATAGATAAAAACATTTAATTTTAATCTTGGCACAGAAATTTATGGTGACCTATTTTTATTATCTAGAATAAATATATTTACTAATTATGAAATAATACAAATAAGATAATTAATTGCTATTGATGATATTTTATAGTCAAGTGGATATTGTTTGATAAAGGTAATTAATTTGAATTGTACTGTATTATTATTATAGCAAGCAATGTTGTATGAAATATTTTAAAGTTAGCTTACCATTTAAATAAGTAAAATACACTGATAAATTGCCAATAGGTAGTTTATCTAATTTACCATCCACCAATATATCGTAGGCAAAATCAGTACCCCATGAGTGGTAGCCATTGCATGTGACCTCGGTGGAAAAGGTTAAATTTCTGAGTTGCACGTGGCTTATATTTGAGCCAGTACATTTCATAGACTTCCATACAGTCATGTTTGTGGTAATATATGGCGTAAAAGCTGTAAAATTAATTAAAATTATTGTAAAAAATGTTTTATTTTATACTATTTAAAAGTTACCGTATTTTTGACCAACAACTGG